TGTGTGTGTGTGTGTGTGTGTGTGTGTGTGTGTGTGTGTGTGTGTGTTATAACTAGTTATCACGCACCTTGAGTCAGTCAGAAACTTACCAGCGAGGATTCAGCTTGGAATTCGATAGTCTGGTTATAAAGGAAATGTACCTGATTCGCGAAGGGGCTCATACACGCAAAGACAAGAAAGATCACTCTAAACGCACTCTCCATAAAGATGTGGAAAGGTTCGAATTTGTGGAGACGTTGCCTTGACTGACTATTTGCCGGCTACTTGAAGGTTTGAAATGATCGTTCGGGACCATACCAAAGAAACAAAAGTAGACATTCGCGAAGGGGCTTACACGTAAAGACAACGGAGATCACTCTCAACGCACTCTCCACAAAGAAACAAAAGTAGACATTCACACTGTTGAGCCAACCAGAGTTGCGATTTGTTTGTTCTTGTTCATAGTGTGCAACCAGGGACAGGGGCTTATTCCCCGCTCGGCGCTCGGCAAACAAATATGGAAGTGGCCAATGAATGTTATCACCTTTTGCGGATAGATACGCGCTATTTTGACATACGATAATACGTCGAATGATGGAAAGATTCTCAAAAGCTGGAACGGGAAAATGTTACCTCCGGCAGAAGTGTCCTAGCTTGAAACCTTTTTTTTTTTTTTTTTTAAAGGCAACGTCTCCACAAATTCGAACCTTTCTAGCTTGAAACCTGGAACACACGTCGACGGAACCTTCAGAAGTAATTGAGCCTGTTGGAATATATATTCAATTTCTGCAAAACGGATCTTGGAGGACTTGAACTCACGATCGCCTGAGGATGACGGTGACCAATTTCGTATTTGTTTTGTTTGTTTTGAGTGCAGAGTTTGCGCGCTGGCGGCGGCGGCATCGGCTGAGGAAAACGGTACTGGTCTTCCCGCGAACACAACGCACGCTCATTGCGAGTGAGGGGACGTTACACAACGCCGGACAGATTACAGAGTCACCTCACCAGGGAGGGAGGGGCGGAGGGAGAGGGGGAGGGGGGAGTGGGGTGTATTGGAGGGAAAGGTGGTGGTATCCAGTTCGTGACGTGACGGTATGGCCAACCGAACGAGAGTGCGCAAGCACGTCAGAGATCATGGGGTTGTGCACTTTGCACACCCATGCTCGATCTCACGGTCCGTATTCGTCCTTGCGTTGATCTGGACGGTAGTTGTCCTTACACTGAGTACATGCACCGGCGTCGTTGAAGGCCTAGAAGAACGAGCAAGACGAAAGAATGATAAAACAGCAGTAACGATATCATCATCATCGTCATCATCATCATCATCATCATCATCATCATCATCATCATCATCATCAGCAGCAGCAGCAGCAGCAGCAGCAAGAGACACAACAGTAGGATCAGCATCTTTCTCAATAATGTCATCGAATTCATCATCGCCACCACCGTCCTACGACCACCGGTCTGGTTTCTTCGACGTTCAGCAGAGCCGTGGTGTCCCTCTCTTGCGAGAGCTGGAGGTAACAGCACCGGGTATATCGATGCCAACCGATCGCGAATTGCAAATCGAAGATAAGGCCGCTGTGGAAGCGCAGAGGCTCGTCTTCTTTCACCAAGCGGAATCGCCATTCAACCACTCCAATACGTCAAGCTTTGGAACCTCCGCGGTGAGGAACTTAGTCTTATCTCCCAACGGACAAGTGTTGTACGTGTTGATCTTCTCGCGTGTCCTTCTGCGTCAAGCTGTTAATGGCAACGAGGTGACACATGTGATGGAGTCCTATTGGAAGGCGGATCTTGGCAGCATCATGGGAAACGGTTTGGCCAAAACCGACCTCCTCAGTTATTGGTGGCTCTTTGACGACACGAACACGACGACGAGGGTTGAAGTGCCCACCATCGTTAGACCCCTCGATACGTCGAACCCCAACATGGCCTTCGTCTACGGGATGGATATTCTTTCCGGGGGTGAACAGTTGGTCCTGGGATCAGGAACGGATCCTCCATCTGCACCGTCCAAGATCTACTTCTTATCGACGGTGAACGGCAGCCGATCGTGGACATTGACGGATGCGCCGAGTCTGGGTAGCTTGGCATTGAGTCGCAACAAGACGAACGTGTATGTCGCGGACAGGCCGTCTCCTTATGTGCGACTTCTTTCTGCACCTGTACCTATGCCCTCCTATCCCTCCGGCGGCCTTCCATCGGAGAATGCTACCACCTTAAAGGTTCTTTCGACGTTCCTTGGAAGTGCAAACGTCAGCGACGCTAAGTTCGGCCCTCAGAGCTTGGACCCCAACCGGAGCTGCCTTTACTTCGTCGACACCATGTTTGCCAGAGTGTGGGCGATCGAGCCATTGCCCAACAGGGCGCCGGTTCTTGTGGCGGGTGATGCGGCGGAGTCGGGACCGGTGCGATTGCGCAGTCCGATGCAGGCGGTTGTCTCCCCTGATGGGTACCATCTCTTCGTCTCGGAGAGTAGTGGCAGTCTACAATGGATTGCGCTGGAAACGCCATGTGGCAAAGCGCGCCGAGTGTCCACTCTGGTCTCAGGTAGCAATCTCGCATTGCAGGGATTGGCTCTCCGGTACAACGATACCCACATTATACTTTACGTTGGGTCAAGCGCCGGTCAAATCTTTGAGCTTGTGATCAATCGGGCCAGTCTGGCGACGAGGAGTGAGCCCTCCTCTCCCATCAGCAGCAGCATATCTGCTTCCTCACCCATGCCGTCAGAGTCCGGTCCAGAGTCTCCCATCCCTTCTCTGTCGCACCCTCCTGCCGTCGACAAACCTCGCTCTTCTTCCAAATCCACCCACCACCTCCCCGTCGTCCTTCCTGTTGTGGTGATCGTTGCACTTGCCTCAAGCCTAGCGCTTTTCGTTTGCTACCTTCGTCGTCGGTCTACCAGCTGCTCCGAGATGCCCAAGCCTGTCGACAAGGATCTCGACGCCGAGCTGGTGGGCAGAGAAAGCGGCCAGTCACTCACCGAGGAGCAAGACGGCGCGAAGCTAATCAACAAGGAAATCGACGTCCAACCCATCCGATCTTTCACGTATGAGTTCTTGAGCTTTTGCACCAATAACTTCGATGAGGAGTATCGGGTCGGAAAGGGGGGCGGCTTCGGATCCGTGTATTGGGGGCAAATCGACGGACAGCAAGCAGCGATCAAGGTGATGGAGGGCTTGCTGACCCCAGCAAAGACTAGGCAGTTCGTTGCTGAACTGAACACCTTAAGTCGTGTTCATCATGCCAACCTGATTAAGCTGATGGGCTACTGTGCGGAGGAGAGTGCCGCCATCCTGGTCTATCCGTTCTTCCAAGGCGGTAGCTTGTTTCAACGCTTGCACGACCGGTCGTCCGTACCGGGCGACCTGGTCCCTGCTCCGCTCACGCTTGCTCAGCGCGCTTCCATCGCTTATCAGATTGCCGAGGGGTTGCGATACCTACACGACGGCGCGGACCCCCCAGTCATCCATCGGGACATCAAGACCGCAAATGTTCTGCTGCGTGATCTGACGACTGAGGTGGAGCCGCATGCCGTGCTGGCCGATTTCGGTCTGGCGACGATGGCGGAGAGAGTTCTGAGAACAAATACCGAGGAGTCTTCACTGTCTTCGATGACAGTAGTTTCTGGTACCCTTGGGTACATGGCCCCCGAGTACCAGCTCGTCGGGACGCCGACGAAGAAGGCTGACGTGTACGCTTTTGGCGTGGTCCTCCTGGAGTTGATGACCGGGAGGATGGCGGCCGTGCCGTCCGACGACGGGACACAGATAACGACGCTAACGGAGTGGCTGGACTCGTTCAAGAGTGTACCGGCTTCTCATCTGCCTTACAAGGTGATACACGATTGCCTGAAGGAGAATATAGAGACAGTCATGGAGGCAAGGAATATGGCTGTGGAGATGTTCGGGTTGGGGTTCGACTGCATCCAGAAAGAACCGGCGGGAAGGCCAGAGATGGACGCCGTTGCGAAGACGTTGAAAGATATCATTTCAACGGGGAAGAAGAAGAAAGTGCCAGATCAGCATCCGTAAGGCTGCCGGAAATGGGCCTAAGGGCAACGGAGCAGGAAGGCTAGGAGACATGAGAGCTCAAGAGCCGGAGCGGGGAGAGCCATCCATCACACACACACACACACACACACGCATATCATCACACACACACACACACACACACACACACACACACACA